GGGGGGGTGTTGCAGGATGGATACAGAGCAGAGACCTGTAAAATTGAGGGGCAGCTCAGAAACATGGGGAGTCAGAAGACACAACCCAGGCTGCCCCCCATAAGCCCGGGCCGGCAGAGTGCTGCCATCCCCTCCTGGCAGGTGTCCAGCCTCCAAGGTTCCGTGTGCTGTGGACAGACCTTGGACCAGTGAATTGAAGGGGCGAAAGGCCAGACACCCACCTTTGCTGCCCCCCCACGCCCCAGGCTGCTGCCCAAAGCCTGCCCCTTAGCGTCCTACCTTGGATTAGTGCCTTGGTGGCACTCCTGTTCCGCTCCACCTGCCAGCTCCCATTGCGGCTGGCTGGCCCCGGCAAGGATATTTGGCGCCACTCAAGTATGTACCCAGTGGCTGCGGCTCTGGGCGCCTCCCAGTGCACCCAGAGGCTGTGCTCATCACAGGGGGAAGTGTGGATCCTGGCCAGGGGCTGACCTGCGAACAGCATGGGACAATGCAATCAGGCACAGACAGTCACAGCCGCAGCCCCAGGAGGCAGGAGGGGTGAGAGAAGCTGTGTGTGGGATATGGGGGAAGCCGAGGGGCAGTGGGGGAAGGGCAGCAGAACTGGTGCTGCTGCACTTCGAGCTCACCGCGGAGTCAGTAAAACCAGAGGAGGCCATGGACCCTCTGCAGCCGCCTCGGCTAGCGGAGAGGGACTGGGGCCTGTGAATCTGTGAGCAGAGGAAGCATCTTCTCTTGCCAAGCAGCCATGGGAATGTCAGGATTCAATGCCTGGTCTGGGGTCTCACACTCTCCCCTTGCTCAGTGCACAGGCCTGGCCATTAGTCGCTCTCTTGTCATTCAAACAGGGGCGGCTCCAGGCACCAGCGCAGCAAGTGCATGCCTGGGGCGGCCTGCCGCTCGCCGTGACGGCGGCAGTCAGGCTGTCTTCGGCGGCATGCCTGCGGGAGGTCTGCCGGTCCCGTGGTTTCGGCAGCAATTCGGTGGCGGGTACGCCAAATCCGCGGGACGGGCGGACCTCCCGCGGGCATGCCGCCGAAGGCTGCCTGACTGCCGTGCTTGGGGTGGCAAAATACATAGAGCCGCCCCTGCGTTCAAAAGGACGGTTCAGAGATTACAGGCCAGCTCCTCTGCTGGTGTAAACTGGTGTCACTCCATTGGCGCCAGTGGAACCACCCTGAGTCACACCAGCTGAGGAGCTGGCCCTGCAGCTAATCACTCTCGGTAGCCAAAACATGCTCCTGGGCCAGCGCGGTGTCTGCCGGGCTTCACCCCCTGCTCCCCTGAGATGTTCTGCAGCCCAGGAAACGCACCGGGGAGCCCATCTCGGGGTCGCTGCGTATCTGCGGGATCACTGAGGAGCCCAGAGATCACCCTACTTATTACTGGGGCAGTGACCAAATAGAGACAGTCCAACTTCCTGGAGCCAGGCAAAGGCGCGACAGGGAGGGCTCCTAGCCCACGTGCAGCCGAGCTGAGAAATCAAAGGGTTTCTGCAGAGCGGAGCCCACCTGAAGGGGCTTTCAGGGTTTCAGAGATATGCTGCTTTGAACAGACTGTGAGGATGTCTAGCGAGCCCCTACCTTTCTTCTCAAGGAAGAGAACTTCTGTTGCTGCAGACTCGCCTGCCGAGTTATAGGCTGCGAGATAAACTCTCCTGACCCCAGCCAGCACAGAGAAACGGCACTGCCTCTCTGTCGTGTTGCAGACAGCTGTGAGCTCCACATTTCTCCGTCTGGGATTCAGGGAGACCCAGTACCCCAGGATTCTGCCATTCCTCTCGTTCCGCTTCAGAGCCTGCACAGAGCGGGGAGAACAGTGGTTGGGTTAGCGCGGGGACCCCGGCCGGGGACCAGAGCCCGTTGTGGGGCACCAGGCAGGGGTGATTTATGGTGTTCAGTGCTTGGCTCGTAGGGGCACGGGTCCCATAGAAACACCTGGGGCAGGGGAGAAAAGGATGAGGCAGACTGTCCTAGCAATGGGGAGCCCAGGACACCGACAGGGAGTTCAGATACGGGGCTGTGACAGTCTCAGCGAGCCCCAGGATTAAGTGCTCACGTGCCTCTTCCCCCACAGACAAGCCGTGTGTAATAACAGGGGCCGTCTTACAAGGAGCCACATGTGCATTCTGCTGTTAGGGTCGTGTCCAGCATTACCTTCCACAGCAGCTGAACCTCCGCTCTCTTCCCAGAGTCCACGGGCGTCATCGTCCACCACACGTCCAGCTTCCCTGCAGGAGCTAGAGCATACAAGAGGAGGGGTTTCTTTCACCCATTCTTCACAGCTGCCCTTCACTGGTACAGAGGTGACAGACCCAACACAGAGGTGCTGGTCTCAGTGGATCGGAACGTCATTAAAATTCAGTCTTGCACCTTCTTCAGCTGCAAACCCCGTTCCTAGGCCTGGTCTACAGTCACAAGTTGTACCACTGGAACTGTGCCGGGGCAGTTACATCGGGACAGCCCCCGTGTGGGTGGGTCTCTTGGTATAAAGATGCCCGACGCCAGGTTAGTTTCTCCATATAGGAGAAGAGGAATAGCTGTACCAGGACAAGGCCCCCTTAGCCCAGTATAAACAGATGGATAAAAGATCACACCCCAAGGGACACTGCTTTACTGGGACCAAACCTGTGTGCAGAGCAGCCCTTAGATCAGGGGCACCTTTGGGCAGAGCCCTTGTCTCCTCGTTGTGCACCGAGCTGGCCCGTCGCCCAGCAAATAAACTCCCGTAACAACACCTGCCCCAAGGTGGAAGCCAGGCCGCGTGGGAGAGCGAAGCGGGCCTGACCCACACGCCAAGGGCTGTAAATGGGCACTGCTCCCAGCACGGGGAGCCTTAGAGACCCACTGCAAACGCCAATAAGTAGGGGTTGGACCCCACGCCCCCAGGCAGCTCTGGGCCTTTTCCTCTGCCCTCCCCAGTGCCGCATCACCAAGCGCTGTGTGTGTCACTTTGTCCTTCCATCCTGCCCGGTCACTCAGCAAAGCCACAGACCCAGGTTTGCTGTGGGATCTCAATGCACCAGCACTAGGGACGCTGTGGGGTCCCAGCCCTAGGTCTCAGTCTGTGGTCTCTCTGCTGAGGCTGCCGGGGTGGGTGTATAGGGCAGCAGTGAGAATGGTTTCACGCAGGGGCCTCCCAACAGCCCTGGCATGGGAAGGCCCAGGGTCCCTGAGCCTGAGCCAGTCAGACCCTGCCAGTGCGGTGGTACCATGGTGTGGCTGGTCCCCCTGTCAGGACCCACCTTTCTCGTGGGTGATGAAATTCCACCCTGGGCTCCACTCGCTCCAGTAGCCCATCGCTGTGACCCGCCTGCAGCGCATCTGGAAGCGATAATCCGTCCCAAACAGGAAGCCGCAGTGATGAGTCTTCAGGTTGGGGCTGACAATGTTGGGGACCTGGTTGCAAAGCAAAGCAACATCGTTTGGCAGCTCTCAGAGGCAACCCCATGTGGACTCTTGCTCAGATGTGGCCGGGTCGAGGCCCCGATCCTCGTCCGGCTTGCACCCCGTGCGCCATTCACACCAGGGCAAAGCGTGCCGAAGTGGGTGTGAACAGCTCCCTGGGGTAGCCCCTGACAACCCGTTCTGCTGCCTTTTGTGGATGTAACTGAGGGCGCGAGGGGCCAGGCCTGGGGGAAGCCGGCCCCGCTTCTCTCTAGCTCCTTCCCAGAAAAGCTTTTTCACCCCTCTGTGGACAAAGCTGCCCAGCCCACTCGAGACGGGTCCGAAAAGAAGAGTCACACACAGAGTGTGGGATCTGATGGGCAAAGTCCACTGCGGCCAGCAGATGGGTTTGGCCCAGTAACGCAGCCTCCAGACCCAGGGGGAATCAGTGCCTGAAACTGCTCCCAGAGAGCCCTGCTCCTAAAGGCCAGGGCCAGGCTCCAGGGGCCTGGCGCCGCACACTCCCCAAGGGAACCCCAGGCCTTTCAGGCGGGGTGGGGGGTGTTACACCGAAGGGAGGGGAGAATCAGCCCAGGAAACTTGTGATCTAACCAAGGGAACTGGGCTGCTTCAAACTAGAGGGACATCTCCAAAGGCAATCTGTGTCGCAGGTTGCCAGGGAGCGGCTCTGGAAACGAGCTGGCGGCGGGAGATGTATTGATGGGGCTGGAGTGGCAGAGACTAAGGTGTGATTGTTAGTGGCTCCGAGAGGGTGGGGTTCCATGCTGTGTGGCCTGGATCTCTCTGCTCCGGCCTCTGCTTGGTGGGGCAGGTTCTCAGCCTCGCTCCACTGGGGTCCATGGGCCAGATCCCCAACTGGTGCAAAAGTGGCTGGTGATTTGGAGTCACCAACCTGAGATGCCTTAAAGGGGCCTGAGTCTCAGAGGGTGGCTGCTCAGCACTTTCTGAAAATCCAGGCCCCAAAATCACGAGCTACTTTTGGAGAATCTTGGCCCCTGTGGCCGGTGTCTGCCCCCCCCCCCCCCGACATGCTGTAGGCTGGTGTGTTCAGGAGGTCTCGTCACCCCAGATTTCCAAGTGCTCAATTCCCTTTGTGGCATCTAAGCAAGTGGCCCGGTTGTCCAAAGAGCCCAGAGTGCTGGGTGTGAGCTCTGGGAAATCTGATCAGGGTCACAATGGGAGCTGCTGAGGGTGGGAAATTTGGCTCTGATGGGGGGCGCCGCGCACTTGGAGATCCAGCCCTGAGCTCTTGGGAAATCTAGCCGTCAGTGCCCACCTAGCAGGCTGCCCCTCTTCGGTGCCCCATCAGCAGTGGGCACCAGGGTGTGTGGCGAACCTGGTGACGAGGGGACGGGGGGTCAAACGGAGGTACTGGAAGTGCAGAGTAAATCTCTGGACTATCCATGCAACTCCTGAGTGGAAGGATGCTGAATGGTTACAATCGAGGAGCAGACGGCACATTTTAGGAGTCGGGACTTGAGAGGGACAGGAGAGGTTTCCTTCCCTCCTTTCAAACAGGAGAAAGAAGCCAATGACTCACTCCTCTCCCCTCAGGAGCCGGCTGGAAGAGCAGCCGGAATCTCCCAGTTTACAGATGGGGAAAATGAGGGGCTCTCAGTCCCCCCATGGAAACAGAGGCAGGAACAGATCCCAGGCCACTAGACCATACTTCCTCCAAAAGAACACAGCCCTATGGAGCAATACCCCACCAGCCCCCCTCTCCCGGAGCCAGTCACTCACCAGAGTCCATCCAGGGTCCTCATGGGTCCTGTAGCGGAGCTCACACTGCTGCTCTATGTGGGAGCTGGTGGGAGCCACTTCCCAGGCCACGGAGACGCAGTCAGTCTGGAAAGGGACTGACTGGATGCTCTTTAGGACAGGGGGATCCAGTTTGGCTACAAGGAATAGAGAGAGAGAGAGAGAGAGAGAGAGAGACGGGGCTCAGTCAAAGCACACAGCCAGGGCTTGACCCCACTCGCTGTTTGCCTGCACACCTTCTCCTGCAGTCAGTGGGAGTCCCAGACACGGGGGATCCCAGCCATCTGTCTGATCGGACTTAGTGTTAGTCTTAATCCTGGCTCTGGCTTTAAGCCCCAGCGAGGTGAGTAAGAAAAATAAATGGTTAAAAAAATGCAGCATGAAAAGACCTAGGGAAATAGAAATAATCCAACAAGGAGTTGGATTCAATATGCAAATGAAATGAAATAGTCTCCCATGCATGAGCCTCATGGCATTACAGGGAGATTGATCCATAATTACAGTAGGGAAAAGGGGCCAATCAGAGATTGAGGGAAATGTATTATTATTAATAATTGACAATAACTCATTAATTAATCATTTCTTTGACCTTTCTAGTGTGTCTTTCCCCCTGAATCCTCACAACGCACTTTATCCCCCTCTCCCCTCTGGAAAGGAATTACCCCACTAGTGCTGTGATGCTGGGCTGAAATGCAGCAGCTGTTTAGCAGCACGGCTCTGTGCAGCAGCTCAGAACAGGGGAGAAGCATCATCCTGCATCAGTCAAAACCGCCTGGAGGGGGGATGCCGTGAGCAATTATAATGACTGCATGGTAATTTGGCCAGGATGTTGGGGGTTAACTCCTACTTAGTCACCTTCGCCCAACACCCAGGGGCTCTGGTAACAGAAATCCCAGGTACTGATACAGCATATCCGAGTTTTGCCAGTGGCTTCAACAGGGTGAGGATTTCACCTGCAGAACTGGGCACTTAGAGCCTGCTCAGTCAATGGAAGGACTTGCCCTGACTTTGATGGGCTTCGCATCAGGCCCTTAAACAGCAAAATAATAGTAATAATGACCCATTGTATTTGATAGGAAGGTTCCATTGATCAGTAGTTTCCAAAGGGTTAATAAACGACTCGCTGATGAAAGAGACAAGGCGGGGGAGGTAATATCTTTGACTGGATCAACTGCTGATGGTGAAAGGGACAAACGTTCAGGCTACACACAGCTCAATAGATGGTTAACCACCTGTTAGAGGGACCAGTCAGTCAACAGGTTGCTTAGAACTATCTATAACATTTTGTGCTGAGATGCTTGTAACCACCTATGACACATCCTACTAACATCTGTAACCGGCTTAGAGCAGCTAGTAATCCTCTATTAACCCTTTGGAAACCATTTATAAATGGAACCTTAAAATAAAGTGTGACCTAATAATCTAAAGCGTTTTAATGGGACTTGGTTTAACAGAACTAACTCTCCTTCTCTCTCTCAGTTCTTTTGTCCAGACTCTGATTTAGGTGGCTACAAAGGAAGCCCCCAGCTCCGTTACACACCTACATCCATGGGGTCGATGCACAGATGCTCAGACTCAGCTGTGCCCAGGGCATTCTGGACTGACACCCAGATGTCCATTTTCTGGTACAGCTGGAGAGACCTGCGAGGAATGGTGCAGTAGTTCTGGCCGCCTTGTGGGATACAGTCTGGGATCGCCTCCTGGGAAACTTCACACTGGCCTCTGCTCCTGCAGTGGAACGAGACAGGGTCAGTCTGTAGGTCCCCACTAATATTCTGTGTGTTCTCACTGGAGACCCATCAGCCCGAGGTACCATCCTCACCTTCCTCTCAACGTGCGCCCAGTGGGCACACCCAGGGACACGGAAATCCAGGTTCTGTGCAGGTGCAGAGGGACCCTCTGAGTAACACCCAAAGCTAGGCCAGAGGCAGGGGAAATACAGTTCTTGAAGGGAGAGCTAAGCTGAGCAGGCTGAGCCGGACTGCTGGCATGGGGTCAAGGCTGGCCTCATCGAGAAGATGGGCTCCTGCCGGCAGCGACTCTCTGAGGTGCAATCCCAGAGGCCGGTGTCAAGGGGAGGCTGGGATCAAGTCTCAGTGGCTTTAAGGTTGCTCTATGGTGGGTGCCTATAATCCACTTTGCCATGTGGTGTAAGGAGCTCTCAAACTGGCCCATAGTGGGTGCGGCAATCTGGTCCCGCTCGGGGCTCTGGGAGCCAGTTCCGGCTCACAACTGTGAACAATTACTGCTGCACAAGGTACCAGCGGGTGACGCTGAGCCTTGGGACTGTATGGCCAAAGGACACAGCGAGGGAAAGCAACAAGGGGCTTGTACTGAGCAGCCTGCAAGACGTGGTATCCCCCGGAGCACAGATGCCTCCAAACAGTCTGCAGAGGGCGCGCTGGAGGCCTCATTGCTTGGGGCTTTTAAAAGCAGACGGGACACAGCCCTAGATACTTGTGGGGAACATGCTTTCCTGGCTGCTGCTGGGTGCAAAGGGGAGGAGGGGACCAAAACGGGCCCCTTTCCACCTCTAATTCCTAGGGCTCTCCATGTGCGGTGTGCAATGGGCAAAGAGGCCTGACCATGGCCCCGCAGATGGATAGGAGGCCATGCATGGGGCTGAGGCTTATCACTTACTTGGAGCTTTTCAGAGTCACTCTGGCTGGGAGGTGTCCGTCCAGCCCGGGGTCCCAGCGGCACGTCAGGGTGTTCTTACTGAGGTTCATCATACAGGTTAGATTCTCAGGCTTCGATGGTGGATCTAGGCAGAAAACAATGGGGAGAAAGGATCTGAGATGCGCTGAGTGGACCTCCCAGGTCTGGGCAGTTCAGCTGCATGTCCTTGAGCACCATCGACTGGTCCTGTGTCTGTTAACTATTTACCTACCTATAGTTGTAGAACTCTCCTGGAACATGTAGAGAGGAAACACCTGCCTGACGCCCTGGAGCCCCGAGCCAGGCAGCAATGGCACAAGCTTCTCCCTCCCCCCACTGCCATACCTTGCCAACCTGCACATGACCTCAAACGGCCCTCCCCTCCCCCACGCACCAGGAAATAGTAACCCCCACCCCATCTCTCCCTGGCCAAAGCAAGAGAGAAGTGAGAAGGTATTCAGCGCCAGATCCAGCCAGCCTCTTGGAGACATGGCCGAGGGAGCAGTCCAAGTGACCGTGCCTGCAAAGGAGGTGGTGGCCCCTAATTACCTGCCCCCACTGGGAGTTCAGTTTAACCCAATTTGCATGTGCAAACGCAGGGGTTCTGGTGCAAGGAAAGGGATGCAGGTGCAAATATCAGGAGGAAGAGGGTGTGCTATTTGCACATGCAGGAAAACATGGCCCTTTGAGTCGAGGCCAGAGGAAGGTGAGACTTACAGCCTGCGTGGATCTCCGCCATGCCTATCCGCTGCGGGGTGCCGTTCCACACCACATAGCACCACAGCTTGGCCCTGGTTCGGTTGAAATGGCTGATGGTGAGATTGGAAACTTCTGCTCCTTCAACGCTCTTGTGCTGGCTCCCTGACATGGACTCGCTGTCGAGTCTCCACGTGATCTGGATTTCCTCACCGTCCAAGCCACTGCAGCGGTTGCTTTGGATGGTGCAAGAGGCCGTGACTGTAGATCCCAAGAGAATGGTGGGTGAGTCCACTGCTACCCAGCCACAGGCTCGGGCCCCTGCAGAGGGAAAGAGAACAGCACATCAGGGTGACAGGGCCCTGGGCCTGCACAGAAGGGACTGCCCCTCTGGCCTGCTCCTTCACTGGCAGGCCAGGGACGCCTCCTTGCAGCCTGAGCGTGTTACTCTTTTTTCCTGAAAGCCAGCCCAGTGTTTAGAAACTTGGGCTCCATCTCGCCCAGCATCTCATCTCCAACACGGGGGAGTGGTGCCAAAACCCTGCAGTTATGGGATAACCTGCCCCAGGAAGAGGTTTCCCCCAGCCCCTGCTGGTTGACTGATGCCCTGGAGGAGGAGACTTTATACCCCTTCCAAAGTTATAGGAATTTTAACCCTTTCGATAGCAAATCTGGATGGTCGTTTTAGCTAGATAAATGTCCAAGCCTTGTTTTGAATCCCGATAAACCCTCAGTCTCAAGGAGACCTTGTGGCAGTGAGTTCCACAGCCTAATGGTGCAAAACAGTATTTGGTTTTGTCAGCTTTAAATTTGCTGCCATTAAGGTTGAATTTTTCTTCCCCAGATGGAGATTTTAAGGAGCAGTCACATTGCACAGCAAGGGGCCATGTTAGAGTCTGAAATGGCAAAGGAACAATCAAAGGGCCAGACATGTGGACAGTGCCCTTTGTTAGAATGTGAAGGGTACCAGCGCAGAGACGTCAGCAGCTCCAGCATTGGCTCGGGGGACTGGGACGACGCCACATGGGCTGTGGGACTGGGATGCGGCCCGGGCTCAGGGGTCTGTACTAGAGGATCACATGTTAGGAGTGGGACCCTTGTTTGCTTTTGGGCTCTTGTTGGAGCGTCGCCCATGGAGCACGGCTGAGTCGTGCTCAGGCCACGGTCACTTCAGTGGGGCTCTTCAGTTTCAAAGCCCTGAGACATCGATCTATTATTTTCACTTGTGGCTGGTGAAAGGCCCTGGGATGGGAAATTCTCCACTTATCTACAGATCCAGGGTCCGGTACCGCCAGGGCAGGGGGAACGTCCCACCACTCTTCTCCAGCCTGACCTGGATTAGCCACCTCTCCGACAGGCTAGTCCCCAATACCGTCACTGCCTGGCCCCCTGTCTCCACTGCCAGGCAGCACCGTTTCTGGGATGGACACTAGCAAAACTCATTCCATGCTGGCCACAGAATTGAACTCAAATGCATCTGTAGGGAGTCAGGGATTTCCCAGCTCCTTGCTGGGAACCACGTCCCTTTGAAACTCACCTCCCAGGAGCAGAAGGAAGAGTGTGGAGCATCCCAGCAGCATCTCAGAGTTCCAGTGCGTGGCCATGATCTGCATTCACAGACTGAGTCTCCTTTACAGGCCTGGGATGATGGCTGTGGAGATGGGAGTGTGCTCAGATTAACCTGGCCTGGTACAACCCTACATGAGAGACTTTCTGAGTTACATAGCAGGCCAAATGTACTGGGTTCATCCATCCATCCATCTATCTATCTATCTATCTATCTATCTATCTATCTATCTATCTATCTATCTATCTATCTATCCCCATCCACCCCCTATCTATCTCCATCCACCCCATCTATCTATCTATCTATCTATCTATCTATCTATCTATCTATCCCCATCCACCCCCTATCTATCTCCATCCACCCTATCTATCTATCTATCTATCTATCTATCTATCTATCTATCCCCATGCACCCCATCTATCTATCTATCGATCTATCTATCTATCTATCCCCATGCACCCCATCTATCTATCTATCTATCTATCTATCTATCCCCATGCACCCCACCTATCTATCTATCTATCTATCTATCTATCTATCTATCTATCTATCTATCCCCATGCACCCCATCTATCTATCTATCTATCTATCTATCTATCTATCTATCCCCATCCACCCCCTATCTATCTCCATCCACCCCATCTATCTATCTATCTATCTATCTATCTATCTATCTATCTATCTATC